CGCTCCGGTGATCCTTCCACCTCAGCCTTCCAAGTAGCCAGAATTACAGGCATGCGCACCATGCCCAGCTGATTTTTTGATTTATTGTAGAGATGAGGTCTCGCTGCCCAGGCGGGTCTCGAACCTGCGGGCTCAGGCAATCCACTCACCTTAGCCTCCCAAAGGCCGGGGATTACAGACTGAGCCACCGAGCCCGGCTTCTTTTGCCCATTTTTAATGGGGCTTTTTTTTTTTTTTCCTTTTTGCGCGTTTGAGTTTCTTGAAGATCCTAGATGTTAGGCCTTTGTCAGATATACAGTTGGCAAATATTTTTTCCCATTCTGTGTGCTGTCTCCCTGCTCTCTTGATGGTTTTTTTTTGGCTTTGCAGAAGCTTTTCAGTTTGATGAGGTCCTGCTTGTCTATCCTATCTCTTATGGCATGGGCATTTGGGGTTTTGATCAGGAACTGTTTGCCAGTTCCAATTTCCATACGTGTGTCTCCTGCATTTTCTAAGGTTCTTACAGTTTGAGGTTTTACATTTAGGTCTTTGATCCATTTAGAGTTGAATTTTGTGTATGGTGATAGGTAGGTATCCTGTTTCATTACTCTGCATGTGGTCAGCTAGTTTTCCTAGCACCATTTACTGAATAGGTTTTCCTCTCCCCAGTTGTTGTTGGAGGCTTTCTTGAGGATGAGTTGGTTGAGAAGTTGAGATTTTGCTTCCAGAATCTCTATTGTGTTCCATTGGTTCGTATCTTGTACCAATACCAGGCTGTTTAGATTATTGTAACCTTATAATAAAGTTTCAAGTCTGTAAGTGTGATACCTTCCACTTTGTTTCTTTTGCTGAGGATTATTTTGGCTATTTGTGGTCGTTTTTGTTTCCGTATGAATTTCTGTATTGTTGTTTCCAGGTCTAAGAATGATGATGGTAATTTAATGGGTAGTGCGTTGAGTCTGTAGATTGCATTTGGTAGGATGGACATCTTAACAATGTTGATTCTTCCAGTCCATGGGCATGGAATATTTTTCCATTTGTTTGTTCTCTTTGATTCCTTTGAGCATTGTTTTTTGTAATTTTTTGTTGTAAAGGTCTTTCACTTCTCTGGTCAGGAAGATGCCAAGATATTTCAATTTTTGTGTGTGGGGGGGTATTGTGAATGGGATTGTACTTTTTATTTGGTTCTCTTCCTGTTTGTTATTGGTTGTATAAAAATGCAACTGTCTTTTGCACATTGATTTTATACCCTAAGAATGTGCCAAAGTCCTTTATCAGTCCAAGGAAGTTTTTGACAGATTCCTTTGGGAATCTGTCATATTGTCAGTAAAGAGGGATCGCTTAACTTCCTCTCTTCCTATTTGGATACCCCTGATATCCTTATCTTTTCTGATTGCTCTAGCTAGGACTTCCAACACTATGTTGAACTGAAGGAATGAGAGTGAGCAGCCTTGTGTTGTTCTGGTTTTCAGGGGGAAATGCTTCTAATTTCTGTCAATTTAGTAATATATTAGCCATGGGCTTATTGTAGATGGTTTTTACTATTTGAGGTATGTTCCTTTTATACCTAGGTGTTCAAGGGTTGTTATCAAGAATCGATGCTGGGTTTCATTGAAAGTCTTTTCTGAGTCTAATAATATAATAATGTGGTTCTTGTTTTTACATCTGTTGATGTATTTAATTGCATTTATGGTCTTGCAGATGTTGAACCAGCCCTGCATCCCAGGGATAAAGCCTACTTGGTCATGGTGGATAATTTTTAAGATGTGTTGTTGGATTTGATGTGCTAGAATCAATCTAGTTGAGAATTTTTGCATCTATGTTCATCAGGAATATTGGCCTTTAGTTCTCTTTCTTTGTTGGGTCTTTGCCTGGCTTGGAAATCAGTATGATATTAGCTTCATAAAATGAGTTAGAGAGCATTCCATCTTTCTTGATTGTCTAGAATACTTTCAGTAGATTGGTATCAGCTCTTCCTTGTGTGTTTTGTTGAATTCTGCTGGAAAGCTGTCTGGTCTAGGGCTTTTTTATTTATTTATTTTTTGGTAGGTAATTTTCTTATGACAGAATCAATTTCCTGGGTTGTTATTGGTCTATTTAGGGTTTCTCTTTCTTCTTATTTCAACCTTGGAAGATGGTGTGATATCAGACACACATTTCATTTCATTTCATTTAAGTT